TTCCCCCCCCTTCTCTCTGCCCCCTCAATTTCTCTCTCGCTCGTTCACTCTCTCTGACTGTCCCTCATGCTTTCTGTCTCTTCACCCTCTCTATCTGTGTGTGTCTGTCGCGCGCTCTCTCTCACTCTCTCTCTATATGTCTCACACTCTCTCTATATGTCTCTCTCTCTCTTTCTCACTCTCACACTCTCTCTCTCTCACACTCATTCCCCCTCCCCACCCGACCCTGGGGGCACTGACAGGGTGCAGCTGTTCTCTGGGTTTCTGTTGCCAGTTGCTGACATTGTGTTCTCGTTGTGCCCTCAGTGGGAGGATCTGTTACTTTACCCAGCCGCCAGAGACCCACTCGCTGCCCAGCCACATCAGCGCTGAAATCGTCGCTCAGCTCGGAAAGGCCTTCGATATTGAGGAGCTCGACAAGGGTAACCAGGAGGCCCTGAGCAGTGAGTATCCCAGCTTCTACTCATCCCTCGCCCTCTGTCAGCGCCCGCTCCCTCAGCGCCGACCCTCCAACAGAGCCCGCTCCGTCTGCGCTGACCCTCCGACAGCCCCATTTCTGCTCTGCGCTGACCCTCCGGCGGCGCCCGCTCCGTCTGCGCTGACCCTCCGGCGGCACCTGCTCCGTCTGCGCTGACCCTCCGACGGCACCTGCTCCATCGGCGCCAACCCTCCAACAGCGCCCTTTCCCCTTGACACTGACCCTCCGGTATTCCCATCACAGAGATGGAAGTTCCGGTGCAGGAGAGTGCTGCGTGCATGGAGATGTCGGGACTGAGCAGTGATGTGAGCAATCCAGCAGCCAGCTGTGAAATGGAGGAAGACGTTCTGACGGAGGAGAGGGGCAGAAAGCTCAGGAACAGCGCTTGTGACCCCTCCTCAACGGTAAATACCCCTCACTCTTTCCAAAGCCGGCCTGCCTGAGGCTCGGCCAACAGAGGGCATCCAGTGGTGCAGGCCAGAATGGGTCAGTCAGTGGGTGACGTATCCCAGTGGGAATGCCGTGCACAGTTCCCGTCTCCCCAACTCACTGGGAATCCTGAGAATCGGGGACTCGCTCCTGTGGGGAGAGAACGGGGTTGGGGTGGGGAGAGAACGGGGTTGGGGTG